GTCATTGATGTATGTTGAGTGTACCAAGGATGGATTCCCATGTATTAAGTGTGGATATGACTAGACCAATGGAAATAGAGATGTGATTAGGAGACATAGGACGCAAGGTCATGATTGGGATTATTGTTAGAATTGCAAACTGATTAGAAATTATCTCATGATTTAATATGTAAGTGAGCCTTTTCAAACTAATCAAGAAGTGTTTCCCAATCCCGATACCCAAGCTATTTACTTACAAGTGTGGGTTTTATAAGTCACTAATGCTGTCAACGTGAGGGGATGACATGTCTACACAGTCATGGCCCTCACTTAGAGTTTTCCCAGATGTGCTTTTTTCCTCAAATATGAGTTTTTGCCATTAGGTTTTTTGACTTTGCCCCAGATCACTAGATGGACTGGTAATCCTAGACCCTGGTCCAAAGAGGGGGAATAGATATTATTCCCATTTTTACTATATGTGTTTATGTTGTGAATTATAATAATAATATTCCCGTTGTTGGGAATAATACACTTTGCCAGTTTTGATCCAAGGCTCAAGTTACAGAGAACAACATGATGTGCAGACTGTTTAAAATTGGTTAACATGTCAGCTGTTTGAAACATTTAAAGATGTATTCAACAGTGTGGTGGATTCGTCTGTTTCTGCCCCGTTCGTGTAAATGGCTGTTTCCTATAGCCCAGCCATACGAATGACTGTTTTTCCCGAACAAAACTACCGAACTAACGGCCACCCAGGAGAAGAAGTGTGCTGCTGGTTAACCTATTGATCCCAATTAGAACGTTGTGGTTAACTGCAGACACTTCTCAATTAAACCGAATTCAGGTTGGCCGCCGTTCGTATGTCGACCACGAGGCAGCAGCTATTTTAAAACACACGAAAGCCCAGCGGTGTTCGGCTCTATTTTCATGGAACTAAAAACAGACACTTTTTCTGCCGAACACCGCTAAAACAACGGGACGTCTGGCTGCCTCCGGGAAAACGTACGAACACCGGCTGTTCGGGAGTTTTACAGCACATGAAAAGACTTAACCCAGATAGCCCTCCCATGGAGTCAATCGCAAACCGAAAGACTGTAAGAACTTTGACTCCATGGCGATTGAACTATGTGTGTGGAATCTGAGCACTATTCGCCAATAATATGCACTCAGATCCAGGCTATCTGGGGATATGTGATGTGAATAAGAAATGTTCGGTTATTTTCAAATTATGTATTTGTATCTAAGATGGCGATTTGTCTTTGTCCTGGAGATAATTGAATTACTTCTCAATTATCTCCAGGGCAGAGGGGAGGAAACCATATTGCATTGTGGGAAAAACCTGTAACTGTATGTCTGGAATGTCCCCCTGTCTATCTGTCATTTCAGTCTCCCATTTGGTCCCCAAGGGGAGTGTCCACCAAGTGGGAGACCTGCATAAATACGGGCAGGTAGCCCACAGTAAAGCCAGATCCTGTTTGACCCTCAAGCGGAGCTTCTGTCTTGTTATTGGGGGGATTTCTTCTTTGCGCTTAGAGACTGCTGATTGGAACCGAAAGCCGCTTGGTGGATATCGTTGTTCGGCGGCTAGCAGCAGTTCGTGGATTTCCGTTCGGGAGTTTGGAGCCTTTCACGGATCCCGGTCGGGAGATTGCCGCTTCCCCTGAGGTTGGTTCGTATACTGCAGTTTATGCGAACTGAGTTATTGGTATTGCAGAAGGGGAAGGCTAACTAAACGGCAGTTTCGTTTAAAGACAACAAGGGTGTCTTAACAAACAGATAATTGAAAAAGCTGAAAATTGACAGCTCAAACTCCTCTTAAAGGGAAAACCTACGGCACAGAGCAAATGGGGGAAATCGAGGTGAAGAAATAGATTAGATTAGCACGTCTGAATATACCTCCTTTCGTTTCTCTGCCGCAGGCCTCCCATGGATATTTTCCGTAAGGTAGATCATGATATGATCTAAGAGGGGAACTGTAGATACGAATATCCATTTTGCTTAATATCCTAGCTGTTCATATAAGGGTTAATGTGAACCAAGAATACATTTGGAATTGTATCTTCGATTCTGGGAAGAATTTATCTAATATCATTTACGAGAATGACCATACTGATTTCGAAATGTTCTTGTTAATTGTCCAAGATTTTGGTATTTGTAAATAACTTGTTTTGATAAAATATACATGTGTTATATAACGTAGAATTATAATAAGAAACAGCTGCTCATAACTTGTGAAAAACAATGTAATTGCCACGCCCATATGCTCATTTCCCCCCCTCCCATCCTGCTATGAAAACGGGGTATTAATATAACTGACGAATTAATACAATTTGAATTGGTTATTGAACACATCTCTGCTATTCATTTCCAATTTCCAGAGCTCTGAACGAGTTGGCAAATATCCATCATCCAAAAAGGGCCCAGGCTGATTTTATCCCCAACACAAATTGTATGGACATTGGTCACTAGATAGACATGTAATTAGAGTTGAGCGGATACCTGGATGTTCGGGACCAGCAGATTTGGCCGAACTTTGAAAAAAAGTCCGGGTTAGGGATCGAACTTGACCCCGAACTCCATTGAAGTCAATGGGGACCCAAACTTTTGGGCACTAAAATGCCTCTTAAAAAGTCATGGAAAGGGCTAGAGGGCTGCAAATAAAGTAAAATGGGGGTAAGAGTAGGACAAGTGCCCTACAAACAAATGTGGATAGTGAAATCACTTAAAATAACAAAATACATAAAAATTTAAAAATACAGCTGGGCCATAAAATAGCACTAGATGGAATCTTTGATTTTAGCTTTGGAAGAACATAAATCAAAATCTAAAACATTGCTGTCAGGAGGATCACCAGAATTATCCATTTGAGAGACGGCTGGAGTGCAGGGTATTCTCTTTCATTGTTCAAACTGAGCTCAACTCCTGATGCATGGAGAAAAGGCCTCTCTAATATTGTGTACATAGTTTATACTAAGTGACCCATAGGTTGAGGAGGCGGTGACCGTGGCGGTGTAGGTGGAAGCGGCGGTGGAGGAGGAGGTAGCCAACACTGTTTTTTATATATATATATATTTGTTTTTTTTAATTGGAGTAGCCCCCAAAATATTGAGACATATTAAAAAAAAAAACATTTGCGGTCTGCGGTGCATTTCTTGCAGTCCTGATGCATGGAGAAATGCTCAACTCCTGATGTATGGAGAAAAGGCCTTCACAAGCCTCTGCTATTGTGTACATAGTTTATACTAAGTGACCCATAGGTTGAGGAGGTGGTAACCGTGGTGGTGTAGGTGGAAGCGGTGGTGGAGGAGGTAGCCAACACTGTTTTTTATTTGTTTGTTTTTTTATTGGGGTAGCCCCCAAAATATTGGGACATATAAAAAAAGAAAACTCTGTTCCGCAGAGTGACTGACCCGTGCGTGCTGCAGCTGAAACTCCACTATCACCTGCTGCTGCTCGCACAGTCTCATGAGGTGTGAGCGAGAAGGCTGAAGTTACGCTGCAGAGCAGACAGGCAAGACGCAGCAGGGTGAGAATGCCAAAAGCATGCACAGACGGCCCGCACTTTCTGCAGCAGCTCTGATATATCTGAGTAGTTTTTCAGGAATTTCTGCACCACCAAATTCAACACATGTGCCAGGCAAGGGTAGTGCGTCAAACTGGCTAGGCCCAGAGCTGCTATGAGATTTCGCTCATTATTGCACACCACCAGGGCGGGCTTGAGGCTCAGTGGCAACAACCACTCATCGGTCTGTTGTTCCGTGCCCGTCACACAGCTCCTGCGTGGTGTGGGGTTTTTCCCCCAAACATATGAGTTTTAAAACAGCCTGCTGTTGTTTCCCCCTGGCTGTGCTGAAGTTGGTGGTGAAGGTGTTACGCTGACCGGATGAGGAGGTGGTAGAGGAGGAGGAGGAGGAAGAAGCTGAGTAGGAGGGGGAGGCAACTGGAGGCAAAGTTGTGTACCTAAATAAAGATTGTCAAACGTTGTATCCTGGAACTGTGTCCCATCCGGTTACTGGGGAAATGGGTCTGAACTATTCTAATCAAAGGGGATAACCATCAGTTACGCAGGTCCCACTTCAATTGGTGGCAAGAGGCGGGATCCCATGTCCCTGCCAACAGACCCATGGACTACAGTGCTCTAAAACGACCTACACTGCAGGACTTGTGTGGAGCCAGAGGAATAACGCCTGGTGGGTGTAACAAGGCCGAATTGATTGCTGCGCTCATGGAGGACGACCAGGCATGCAGTGAGGCAACGAACCCCAGCCAGGGGCCGGAGATGAGGAGGAAGTGTGCAAGGAGGTGTAACGGCGCCTGGCACATTACCGAGAGCAACCCTCAGAGGAGACTGTCAGCAGGACCTTTTTGGAGGTGCAAGCCAATGTCCTTGCCAATAGACAGAGGGCGACCTCCATGAACCCATATGAAGAAAGAAGGGAGTAGAGGGTGCCGGGAAGCACAACCACCCTGGCCCACAATACCTCAAAGACTTCAAGAAAGCAGAAGAAAGCATTGATGACTTTTTTGCAAGACTTTGAGCGCCAGTGCCTACTCCAAGACGTGGACCCCAGCGACTGGGTCACCATCCTGGCCAGTAAACTAGTGGGGAAGCCAGGGGATATTTACGAAGGCAGATCAGGTCACCCCCGAGCAATACCGCCGAAAGTTTAGGGAGACCCGGAAAGGGGAGAAGGACTCCCATGCAGAGTGGGCATGCCACATCACAAGGGCCGCCCAGAATTGGCTCAACTTCCATCAAGCCATGTTCCCGGAGGAGATCACCCAGCTCGTGATGCTAGAGTTCTTTTTCAATGGGCCCCCCAACTACAAGGCGACGACGCATTCGTATGTCATCCATATCAACTTTCGATGCCATTTACTGCGCCTACCATTGTGACCACAGGTAACGGGGAATCAGGGTTCGATTCCGGAGAGGGAGCCTGAGAAATGGCTACCACATGCAAGGAAGGCAGCAGGTGCATAAATGACCCACTCCTGATGTGGGAAGTTAGTGACGACAAATAACAATACAGGACTCTTTAGAGGTCCTGTAATTGTAATGAGTCCACTTGAAATCCTTTAATTCTGATCAATTGGAGGGCAAGTCTGGTGCAGAGCGACTGACCTGTGCGTGCTGCAGCTGAAACTCCACTATCGCCTGCCAGTGGCATCGCTAAGGGGGGCCAGAGGGGGCCATGGCCCCCCCTACATCATGCTGTGCCCCCCCTTGGGCCCCCCCAAATGCCAGCAACTTGCTGGCCATGTTCTTCCCTCGGACTGTAACAGTGTGTGTGTCTGTCACAGCCCGAAGGAATGCAGTGCTGTGGTGCTGGGGGCTGTCTGTGGCTGGAGGGAGCACTGATTGGCTCCCCGGCACAGGCCCCGCCCCCAAACGAAGCCCCATCTCCCACCGTTAAGCCCCGCCCCCGCCGTAATGCAGCAGTCCATGCTGCTTCAGAAGATGGCTGCCTGACTCCCAGTGACAGGTAGGCTGGGGGGGTGCCCCCATACACACACATTGCCCCCATACACACACACTGCCCCCCATACACACACATTGCCCCCCATACACACACTGCCCCCCATACACACACTGCCCCATACAGCCCCCCATACACACTGCCCCCATACACTCATTGCCCCCCATACTGCTCCCCATGGTACACAGCCTTCCCATACACACACTGCCCCCATACAGCCCCCCATACACACACACTGCCCCCATACACACACACTGCCCCCCATACTGCCCCCCATACACACACATTGCCCCACACACTGCCCCCCATACACACACATTGCCCCATACACACACTCTGCCCCCCCATACACATACACTCTACACACATACACTATCCCCATACACACACACACACTGTATGGACTCGGCAGTCTGTGTGTGTGTGTGTGGACTCGGCAGTCTGTGTGTGTATGGACTCGGCAGTCTGTGTGTGTATGGACTCGGCAGTCTGTGTGTGCATGGACTCGGCAGTCTGTGTGTGTGTGTGTATGGACTCGGCAGTCTGTGTGTGTATGGACTTGGCAGTCTGTGTGTGTATGGACTCGGCAGTCTGTGTGTGCATGGACTCGGCAGTCTGTGTGTGCATGGACTCGGCAGTCTGTGTGTGCATGGACTCGGCAGTCTGTGTGTATGTGTGTATGGACTCAGCAGTCTGTGTGTATGGACTCAGCAGTCTGTGTGTATGTGTGTATAGACTCAGCAGTCTGTGTGTGTGTGTATAGACTCAGCATAGTCTGTGTGTGTGTGTGTATAGACTCAGCATAGTCTGTGCGTGTGTGTATAGACTCAGCATAGTCTGTGTGTGTGTGTGTGTGTACGGACTCAGCAGAGTCTGTGTGTGTGTGTACGGACTCAGCAGAGTCTGTGTGTGTGTGTACGGACTCAGCAGAGTCTGTGTGTATGGACTCAGTAGAGTCTGTGTGTGTGTATGGACTCAGCAGTCTGTGTGTGTGTGTGGACTCAGCAGTATGTGTGTGTGTGACTCAGCAGTCTGTGTGTATGGACTCAGCAGTCTGTGTGTGTATGGACTCAGCAGTCTGTGTGTGTGTGTGGGACTGCTTGGGGAGTCTGTGTGTGTGTGTGTCTGGGACTCAGCAGAGTCTGTGTGTGTGTCTGTACGGACTCAGCAGGGGGTCTGTGTGTGTGTGTCTGGGACTCAGCAGAGTCTGTGTGTGTGTGTACGGACTCAGCAGAGTCTGTGTGTGTGTGTGTGGTAATGCAGGACTCAGCAGAGTCTGTGTGTGTGTGTGTCTGGACTCAGCAGAGTCTGTGTGTGTGTGTGTGTGTATGGACTCAGCAGAGGTCTGTGTGTGTGTGTGTGTATATGGACTCAGCAGTCTGTGTGTGTGTGTGTATGGACTCAGCAGTCTGTGTGTGTGTATGGACTCAGCAGTCTGTGTGTGTGTGTGTGTATGGACTCCGCAGTCTATCAATAATTAAAATTCCTGTGAGTTGTTGTGTAGGAAGGGCCCCAGTGTATTGCTTTGCCCAGGGGCTCTTAACTCTGTTAAAATGGTACTGCTTGTGTGTGTCAGTGAGCTTCTATTTAGTGAGCATGTGTGTGTCAGTGAGCTTGTCTTTAGTGAGCTTGTGTGTGTGTCCCTGAACTTCTTTGTAGTGAGCCTTCTGTTTATACAAGTGAGTGTCTGTAGTAAGCTTGTGTGTGAGTCAGAGAGTTTCGTCTGTCAGTAAGCCTATTTGCGCATGTCAGTGAGCTTGTGTGCTTACTGTAAATATACATATATATATATATATATATCTATATATATATATTTTGACTTGTAGGAATGGCATACGTTTTTTTTCCAGGGCTGCTTTGGATTCCCAGTTTGGCTCTGCCAGCGAGTGCACTTTACCGCTGAATAATTTGTGTGAGCTGCCGCACACTTTAGCCCTGTTACACGCGTCTGGGAGCTGCTGTTGACAGGTACTAGTAGTCTAGAGATTGGGGTATATGCTCAGCTATCTGTATAAAATATCCCGGAATAGTCGGTGCTTCCTGTATAGTGCTGCTCTCTGTCTTGGGATATTATACACAAACAGACCTGTATTATACAGAGAGCAGCACTATACAGGGAGCACTGAATGTCCCAATTTATTATACATACAACCCTGTATTATACAGAGAGCACTGACTGTCCAGGGATATTATACCCAGACAGTAATTGATAGCTGTGCTGCAAAATGTCCTTGGAATTTTTTTTTCAAATGTTGCAACTATGGCACTGTATCAAGGATAATGTGTTTGTTTTTTTAATAATCCCTGGTGGAAAATAATGAATCCTCCACCAGGTATTATTAAAAAAACAAAACACATTGTGTCGGGGGCGTGGCTTAACATGCGACAGGGGCGGGGTAAAACTGCGGCGAGGGTGGGGTTAAATGTGCCCCCCTACTTTTGTCACTGGCCCTCCATGTGCCCCCCCGAAAAATGAATCCTAGAGACGCCACTGTCGCCTGCTGCTGCTCGCACAGTCTCTCCAGCATGTGCAAGGTGGAGTTCCACCTTGTGGGCACGTCACATATGAGGCGGTGAGCAGGCAGGCCAAAGTTACGCTGCAGACAGGCGAGCAGCAGCATGGTGAGAATGCCGAAAGCGCGCACAGCCGCTACAGTGAATGTCACATCCTGTTCCAAGTTGCAGATCAGTCCGGTGATGGCTTCTGGTATCCAGTACTCTTTTTACTGAATAAAACAACACAAGGAATGGTGGATTGGCGCTACAGAGCCAGAAAATACGCAGCTACCCCCAGTGCCCAAAATCCTGTATTTTAACCAGTAAAGTCATTTTTTGATTATTGATACTGGATGTCCTGGAATTTATTAAAGGGCTGAGAAAAGGAGCAGATCTGCCTGGGAAGCTGCAAATTGAAAGCCTGAATAAGCTTATTATTCACCTGCCACCAAAGTTAGAGCCAGCTTTATGTGACTCTACACACTGTGAGTGACCCAATACCTGTGACTAATTAATGCTCTGTATATAACAGTGTTACACTATATATGTGTTTTTTATTATAGGTCCAACAGGAGGTGTCTTACTTATATTAAGTATAAATATATCTTCTTTTTATTCTATGTGCACCCCCCTTGTATTCTTTTTTCTAACTCTTTTTACTGAAGCTGCATCAGGGTCCTGGTATGTGGCCGCACAAACGCTAGTGCTCAACACCAGGGGGCATGCGGTTACCCTGCACCAGACCCTGCTAATCCATTCCACACTGTGACTCCTAACTTCAACATCAGGCATACTGGGTCCCGGTCGTCCGACCGCCGCCCAGACAGTGTCTGGATCACGGTCACCGCACTGCGAAACAGTGAATGGCTCGTTAAATCTGTTATGGTTCCTTTTATCGCTCCATCTGTTACTTGGATAACTGTGGGAATTCTAAAAATAATACATGCCGACAAGCGCAAGGGGACGGCCGCTCCTCTTTTGCACCCTGCTCCCTCTTATGCTGTGCTGGCACCTCTGTGTGACCAGCGCCTCTTCCTCCAAACTGCACACGTCACTTGCATGACCTTGATTCCAATGGGGGGTCTATGACCTCATCATCCTCCACATCATCTTCCACCCAACTCCTCAACCCTGCCCTCCTTGCTGGTCTGCACACTGCAGAAAGCCACAGCAGTTGACACCTGTGTTTTTCCAGCATGTAAAGTCTACAAAGGACATATGTAAATTGTTTTAGAATTGTATCCAGGCAACAGTTTTCCCTATAAACTGACCTCTCAGTTTGACTTATTACCCCCGAATTACAATATTGTTTTAGTGGTATTTTATGGTACTATTTGACTGTCATATATGAAGTGCAGGCCGCAAATGTACTATTGAGCAACCCCAAAAAATTGAATTGGTCAAACTGCGCTGTAACCACATTATTTGATGCTTCTATTTGACTCTCAGATATGAAGTGTACCCCACTAATGTACTATTTAGCAGATTAGCACCCAGAAAATAAGAATGTTTACAATTGCGCCGTAACCACACTATTTGACGCTCCTATTTGACTCTCAGATATGATGTGCAGGCATCAGATAGACTTTTTAGCACCTAAAGAATTAGAATTTTTAAAACTGCTATGTCACGCCAGTATTTGACGGTTCTATTTGACTCTCATATATGAAGTGCACACACCAAATGTACTATTTAGCAGATTAGCACCCAGAAAATAAGAATTTTTACAATTGCGCTGTAATCGCAGTATTTTACGCTTCTATTTGACTCTCAGATATGAAGAGCATGCCCCAAATTTACTATTTAGCAGGTTAGCACCAAAACAATTAGAATTATTACAATTGCGAAGTAACCGCAGTATTTGACGCTTTTATTTGACTCTCAGATATGAAGTGCTCCCCACTAACGCACTATTTAGCAGTTTAGCACCCAGAAAATAAAAAAATTTACACTTGTGCTGTAACCGCACTATTTGACACTTCTATTTGACTCTCATATATGAAGTGCACACACCAAATGTACTATTTAGCAGTTTAGCACCAAAACAATTAGAAATTTTACAACTGCGCTGTAACCGCACTATTTGACGCTTCTTCTATTTCGCTCTCAGATATGAAGTGCACCCCACTAATGTATTATTTAGCAGATTAGCACCCAGAAAATAAAAATG